TGTCCTCACCCAAAGAAATTACATGACCACTGCAGCCCACTGTGGGCTGGGAATGAAATGGATTGTACAATTCAATTAGCCTAGGGATACTAGGGATACTTTTTAAGGTGGTTAGATAACCACTCAGAATGTGTCAGAGGTTACAGTACTGCTTATAAGAGTATATTCAGCCTTGATAGGCAAATGTACAAAAATAAACAAAAACAGATAGTATCTTGAGCTATTTATGTTTTATTTTTCATTTATTTTCCATATTTTACCTACATTGACCCTTTGCAATCACCAAAAAAGAGGAGATTTTAGATTTTCTTTTATTACACTCTCCTACCAGTTGAATAGATAATAATTATGTTAATTTACAAAACATAAGCAGTACTGTTGATCCATATATATTCAAAAATAATAAAGCATATGTACTTTTTCTATTTTGGAAAAAACATATTGAAGTTTTAATGTTTTCTCTCCCACCTAAATGAATCATCTTACACCCCTCTTTGGAAACGAGAGTTGGAGGCAATTCTTCAAGAAGAATCTGGTTGGTAAAAATGAGAGTCATAGAAAAGAACAACTTTACTAAAATTTCCAACATCAGATCTTGAGGGTCAAAGGATCAACATGGAAGATTATGAGGAAACTGGGCACAGTGTATTTCATAACAATATGTAGGAAAAAATGGGGCAAATTGTAGGCAACCCTATCCTTGATACCACCAAATCTCCTAGAGCCCTTGAGATGGGGCAGGCAGAAGGAGAGACACAGGAAGAGCCCTTTGGGTGACGGGACCCTGATAGCCAGTTGGATACAAAAGTGATATTTCCTCCACTCTCTACCAGTTGAATAGTCACTATGGCCCTCTTCTTCAATAGGCCAGTTTCTCATGAGAGCTATTCATTAATAGGGAATACTGGTGGCCACTGGGTGGTCCAGCAGATGGACAACCACCTCTGCTCCAGAGACTTTTCCAAGTTCATCCGAACAGCTGCATCTGGACAAGTCCATCTTTGAGTGCCCATAATATATAAAACCACTCCCCTTTACCAACTTGTAAGGAAAATAGTACCAGAAGATTTCTGGCACTCACAGGATGAGAGTGGCTGCATGTTAGTAAAAGACCAAAACCATTCCATTCATTGATGAAACTATAGAGATGAAACTACATATCACTCAAACATCAATAATCAACTTTGACTAATTTTGCATTGCTGAATTTCCATACTGCCCTAAGCAAGAAACTCTTTTTTTTTCTGTATAAATATTTTTTTAGTAGTGAACATTTATACTATGAATTGGCACACAGAAGTTCAAAATTTTTTTTTTTTTTTTTTTTTTTTTTTTAAGAGAGAGGGAGAGAGAGAGAGAGAGAGAGAGAGAGAATTTTAATATTTATTTTTTAGTTCTCGGCGGACACAACATCTTTTTTGTTTTTGTATGTGGTGCTGAGGATCGAACCCGGGCCGCACGCATGCCAGGCGAGCGCGCTACCGCTTGAGCCACATCCCCAGCCCCAGAAGTTCAAAATTTTTTAACAAAACCTCACCATGAAATTTATATATATAATGCCTAATACCCACAAACCATTAGAAGCCCTCTTTAATTAACATATTTGGGAAACAAACCAAACTGTTGTAATTTGTTCATATTTGATAATCCAAGAATTTCTCCATTTCAGATAGTTCTTTCCCCAGTTTCGTGTGAACTTGGAAGTTGGGAAAAGTGTTTGGATCCCTACTCTACTTCACATCAGCTCTGTAGTCTAAAATCATTTAACCTCTGAGAATCTGTTTCCCCATCAGTAACCTGGGGATAATATCACCCTTGCTGAATTGTTTTAAAATATGTAAAAGCAACATATTTTTTTCCTATCTTGCATCATGCCTAGGACACAGCAACCACTCAAAGTGCAGTGACTTTAATTATGGCAATTAGGATAAATGAATGAAATTTCTCTGTATATGTCCCTATACTTGTGCTTTTAGAATTCAAATAGAATACATGCAACCCCTACATGTATTTTAGAAGGACAGGCAATTTTTTCCCACTCTCCACTCATTGGGGTTGGGTTATTCTAGGCCTGGAGGAGAATTTTGAGCAAGGCTAGAGGGAATCAGAATTGAGAAGACTCAATGGATACTTGAAACTTCTTCTTCCCCCTCCAATAGAAAGAAGCCTCACTGACTGGCCAACAAGATGAACATGGATTAAAATTTATATTTTTGCTTCTTTTTGTGGCAAAACACACAAAAAATTTGCCATTTTAACCATCTTAAATTGTATAACATGGCAGCATTAAGTACACTCATGGTGTTGGGGAAACACAACAATCTAGTTTCAGAACTTTTCATCACCACAAATAGAAACAGCAAGCTCATCCACTTCTCCTTGCCCCAGCCCCTGGCTACCACTGTCTGTTTCTATCATTTTACTGACTCTGGACATTTCGGATGTTCTTATTTGTTTGTTTGTTCTTGGTTTATTACTTCTTTTGCTTACCATAAGCTTTTCATAGTTCCTCTATTTTGTAACAGTGTTAGCACTGCATCCTCTTTTACGGCTGAAAATATTCCATTGTATGGATATATCTCATTTTGTTTATCCTGTATTTGATTTTAACTTCCACTAACACACATAGAACAGTGATAGTGACTCTGTCACTCTCCTCTTCTGAACATCTGGGCAAGTGTCTTAACTTCTCTGGGCTCCAGGTGTTTTGCTTGGGTAATGAAGATAATGGTCACTGTCAAGGTTATTGGGATAAGGAAATGATGCTTACAATATAAATGTACAGAAGATATCTTAATCCGTTTTGATTTGCTTCCACATTTCTTAACTTCACAAACATTCTTTTTTAAACTAATTTTTAATATATGACAACAGAATGCATTACAATTTGTATCACATATAGAGCACATTTTTTCATATCTCTGGTTGTATGTAAAATATATTCACACCAATTTGTGTCTTCATACCTGTACTTTGGATAATAATGATCATCACATTCCACCATCCTTGCTAACCCCCTGCCCCCTCCCTTCCCCTCTCATTGATCTGCCCTATCTAGAGTTTGTCTATTCCTCCCATGCTCCTCCTCCCTACCCCACTATGAATCAGCCTCCTTATACCAGAGAAAACATTCAGCATTTGTTTTTGGGGGATTGGCTAACTTCACTTAGCATTGTCTTCTCCAACTCCATCCATTTACCTGCCTCCATAAACATTCTTGATAGAATCAATGGCATGGAAATTGAGGGCTCCCAGGCAGAGGGTAGGAGGAAGGACAATCTGCTCAGCATGCCATGCTGGCCCCAGGGCAGGACTGGGCCCCGTGCCCAATCCCTGCAAGCTGCTCCCTTCTGCATGGGCCTAGCAGACTCTGCGTTTATCCCTCTCCATGCTGCATGCTGAAGCTTCCTGAATCTCTCATCAGGTGGCAATACCTGGAAGGCTGGCAGGGTTGAGGGGAGCTGCCCTGCCCTACCCTCTTTCAGAGGAGACAGCAGCTAGCTCTGGGACTGTGGCCTGCCTCCTGCTGCCCCACACTCAGCTATCCTGGGGACTGAACTCTGAGGGCCAGCTGGGAGACAGCTTCCGCCGCCTGTGTGATGATACAGTACATTGTCAGCCTCTATCATTTCCCTCCCTGCAGTCACAGCATTCATTTTGGCCAGGGCCACCCTGGAAAGCCCAGGAGAAGAAACATTTCCAGGCTGTAGCTGCATTGAGCAACCTTGGCCAGGGTCACCCATCCTGGGTTGATGGATGGACCAGCCTTGCTATTCTGTTCTGATCTGCTTTCATTCCAGCTGCCTAATTTGATGCTGCTTCTGGCCTTCACTGCTCTGGCTTATTTGACCACCTTTGGCCAACTGGGCTCTGGGGTACTTTGCAGGCTGCAGTACTTGCCGGGTGCTGTTTCTTTCAATCCATCTCAGTCTCCAGCAACTCCCCAGCTACTGTATGGAGTAACAAGGCCAGACATGGCTGGGCCAATTGCAATTGAATATGTTCCTTAGGATAGGGTTGAGACCTAGAAGTCGGCTGAGCCACCAAGCAACACTGGCATAGATCCAGGTATTGAGAAGTAGGCCAGGCCACTGGACAGAGCTACCTAGAGGGCACAGTGATGGAAAACAGGTGGTGCAGAGGAAATGGTCAGCCAAGAGTATGTGAGATCAGACCCTGCAGAAGGGCAGAGTGTAGTGTGAAGAAACCCACTGTGATGGTTAATTTTAGGTGTCAACTTACTGGGCCAGTAAAGCATTATTTCTGGGTGTGTCTGTAAGGCTGTTTCTGGAACAAATTTGCATTGGAATAAGTAAAGCCCAGGAAAGAAGATCCACCCGCACTCATTGTGGCAGGCACATCCCATCAGCCTGAGAGAGCATAATGGTGGAGGAAAGACAAATTTGCTTTCTTTGTCTAAAAATTGAGTCACCCTCCTTCTCTTGCCCTGTACATCAGAACCCAAGTTCTGTGAGCTTGAGACCCCTAAGCTTATACTAGTAACTTCTTACCCTCCAGGTTCTTAGGTCTTTGGTCTTGGACTTGGAATTATACCATTGGCTTCCCTGTTTCTGAAGCTATTGGACTTAGACCAAATCATGCCACCATTTTTCATGGTTCTCTACCTTGCAAAGGCCATGAGACTTCTCGCTCTCTATAATTATGTGAGCCAATTCCCCTAATATTCGATCACCTCTCTCTGTGTCTCCCTTTCTCTCTCTCTCTCTCTCTCTCTCTCTCTCTCTCTCTCTCTCTCTCTCTCTCTCCCTCCCTGTATCATCTGCTTGACTCACTGATTTTATTTCTCTGTTAAATGCTCCTTTTTTATTTTTTTTAACTCACCCAAGCAATCCAATGCCCAGGAAGTCAGCATTCTCAAATGCACCAAAATTTAACACTGAGGTAAAGGCAAAACTCTGGTCCCAGTGGTCAGCTGGTAAGAACCAGCTGTGCATATGTCTGAAGAGCATGATTATCAGGCAGAAATGGAATGTCCATACCTGAGGAGCAAGAGATGATGTAGGACCTTGAGGCTTCAGGGAAGGTAGAGCTCTGGTTGTTAGAACAGGTTGCCACAGAGCTCTTCAGCTTCATATCTGTGGCCAAGTTGGAATTAAGGGCGAGGGCAGTGCTGAGCTTCTGAGTATAGCTCAAAGGTCACCAACTGAGGAATAAGTGAACTCAGAAACTGGACCTCCTGTGGAGCTTGACCATGGACTATGGACTCAACTTCAGTTTTGTCCATTCATTCCCTGCAAGCCTTACTGAGCACCTTTCCTCTGTGTTAGTTTTGTGCTAAGCTTTCTTGTAGCTAATGCAGTCATTGGGACTTATAGTAAGACAAGATCACATTTTTTCTGTTTTGAGGATTTAGGTACAAGTCCTTCTATCTGCTCTACTTCAAGCTCCTTGAGAGCACATCCAGGGTCTTAGTAATAATTGTATTTCAAACAACTGGGCACACAAGAGGGTCCATGAATGTTTGCTGAAATAAAAACATTTTATGTAGTTCAAACCCTTTACTTCCCAGGCTCACCCTGATCAATCTTAATCCAATTTCCAGTCAGGGTTAGTGCATCCTACCAGTCTGTCTCCAGTTTTATCCAGCAGGCACACACACACACACACACCCTGAAAAACTGGATCAGTTGAACAGTTCTGGTTCTCAGGCATATCCATCCAGAATGTTGAATTTGGAAATGTTATTGACTCTGGGTAAGTATTCTATTTACTTGAGGTTTCAATGTTCTTGTAAGTGAAATAGGATACATTTAATAGTTAAAACAGCATAATATGCCATCTTATATATCTGTATATTATTATTTTATGTTATAAAATAATATAATATCATAATAAATAATATTATGTATTATAAAATAATAATCTTGGTCTTAATTAGCTAATTAGCCTAGAAAGATGGGTATATGATATATAGGTGTGAAGACATTTTATTCATTAATTTTTGTTTATTTCTGAAAGTGCATATACTTAAGATATACAACATGATGTTAACATATATATAGTAAAGTGATTACTACAGTCAAATTAACATACCCAACATTTTACAATCATGGTTACCTTTCTTTTCCTTTTCCTTTTCCTTCTCCTCCTTCTCCTTCTTTATTAGTTAATTTATTTGTTTTGGTAAGAGGACCTAAAATCTATTCTCATAGCTAATTTCCTGTATACAGTACAGTTCTATTAACTCTAGTGCTCATGCTCATACAATAGATTGCTAGGCTTATTCATCCTACAGAATTTTAGCTTTACACACCTTAACCTGCTTCTTTCCACCCTCCTCCTTCTGTAACCATGTTTCTCTATTTTATTTTTTCAGATTGCTCCTAAAAGTGAGATTATGCAGTGCTTTTCTCTTTGGGTCTGGCTTACAGCATTCATGATAATGTTCTCTAAGTTCATCCACATTGTTGCAAATAATAGTATTTCTTTCTATTTGAAGGCTGAATAGTATTCTAGTGTGCCTGTATGTGTGTGTGTGTGCATGCACACTCTCATGTGCATGTCACAATTTCTGTATCTATCTGCCTGTTTGTGGAGACTTCAGTTGCTCCTATATCTTTGCTGTTGTGAATAATTCGGAGGTGAGTGTGTGAGGGCAGATATCTTTACAAGGTGGCAATTTCATTTCCTTTGGGTTTATTTCCAGAAGAAGGGTTGTTGGGTCCCATGGTAGTTCTATTTGTAATTTGTTAGGAACCGCCATACTGTTTCCCAGAATGGCAGCACCAATTCACTTCTCCACCGATGGTGAACAAAGGCTCCTTTTTCTCTACTCCTAACACTTGTTATCTCTTGTCTTCTTTATAGAAACCATCCTAACAGTACAATGATACCTCATTATGATTTTTATTTGCATTTATCTCATTGTTAGTGATATCGAGCACATTTTTACTTCTCTACTGGCCATTTTTATATGTCTTCTTTGGAGAAATGACTGGGAAAAATGTCTTTTCCCTACCCCCTCACTTTTTTTCCCCCTTGTTAGCAGTGCTGGGGATCAGACCCAAGATCTCACACACACAGCATGTGCCCTACAACCAAGCCCACAGCCTAAATTTTAAATAAGGTTACTATTTTTTAAAATGAGTTGTGTGGATTCATTATATATTTTGCATACATGGTTCAAACATTTTTTTTCTCCCAATGCAAAGGCTGCCTTTTTATTTTGTCAGTTGTTGCTTTTGCTGTGTAGAAGACTTTTGATGTGTCCCATCTAAAAGATGATTGCCCAGACCCACGTCAAGGGGCTGTTCTGTATGTTTCCATCTAGGAGTTTTATGGTTTCAGATCTTTATTGTGGGGACATTTTAAATGGGAGTAAGCACACATAATTCTACGTATGCATAGTGGATTTTTTTTTGTTTTTGTTTTGAGGTTGGTCTTCTAGCTTTATGCTACTGGACTGCTAGGAAGGGAGAACTTCCATTGCTCAAATCCCCCCTTGAATGTCCTGAGTGCCACCTGTGCTAATGTATGCACATCATCTGGCACTCAGAGAGCCACAGGAAGGGCTATTGCTTTCCTTCAGGACATCAACTATGTCTGATTTGTCTGTTCTCCCTGAACTGAATAGACTAGGTAGGGCCTTACACAAAGTACTCACTAACATTTGCTGAATTGAGGTGAAATGCAGACCTCCCTGACTCAAGCACGACTCCTCTATCAGAACGAACCAGAGAGATCTCAGTTTTCTCCCCTGAGGTTGAGGATTGCAGAGCCATCGAGGGAAGGGTGACATACCAAATGAGCTCCTTGCCCCTTAAGAAATGCATACAAGTGAGCAAACACAGTGGAGCAATTGCCATGGGAGCCAGGAAGGGCAAAACAGCTCCAAAGAGGGCCCAGGTTCCCACAGGAGGCAGGTTAATGAGGTCCTTTGGCACTGGGCCAGTTCCCTCAGGGGATGAATTTGCTGAGTCTTGTGAAAGGAATCAGTGCTCTGCAGGAAGGCTAAGGTGGATGAGTGCACATGGATGGGCAGACATCGCTCTCAAGCCAGGACTGTGCTGCCAGCAGGGGTGTTGGCCCCACCTCAAGGCCCTGTGCATACTTCCTGTGTGGGCATCACCTCCTTGGCCCAAGCAAGCATCAACAGGACCTCCTTGTTTTTGTTTTAAAGAGAGCCACAGACAGCAATGGTGATTGTTTCCTGGCAAATAGAACAGGTCTATAGTTCCCTATCTGCAATGCTGAAATCCAAAGCTCAGAAAATGGAAACTTCTTTCATAACTTAATTGGCAGCAAATTCAACCTGATCTGAACGTCTCTGACTGCAACACTTGACCTTTTCTGGCACAAGGTTACCCGTTTAGTGTGACTATTCATATGTTTTGCTGTAGGAATATTTATGTGTTTTGATTATGGGTGATGCCTCAGACCCCCCCCCTCTTGGGTATGCTGGAACATGCAGGATGTGCATGCACTTCCTTCCTGAAATCTGAAAAAAGTCTGCAGCCCTGAAACACAGCTGGCCCCGAGGATTTCAGATGAGGAGCTGTGCAGGAGGTCTGATTACTTCCTGTAATTTTCCATTTACATATCAGCATAGAGGAATAACATGTTCATCCTTGCAGTCTGCTTTAGCTGGTGCTTCTAGTGGTAAGGAATAGAGGATGCTCGAGTGACTTCAGAAAAAAAGGGTTGTTTGTTGTAAAAGTACCTTTTGTGGGGCTAGATGAAGAACTGAGAAATCATCATGGATGGAACAGCTTCCCTTTCTCTTTCTCTTTCTTGTTATTTTTTTCTTCCAGTCTCTTTCCCATGGGCCTGCTATGTGAGATCTCTTTTCTTTCCTCCCCTCCTTTTCTCTTTTCTTTTACCGGCTCCTCTTCTTGTTGCACCTCTGCTCCTCTCTGAGGATCTACTCCTTTTTCTCACAGCTTCTTCAGTTTACTCATCATTCTGGTTGTCCATGAATTTGGCTTTTTTATCTCTAGTTATATTTTCCTACTTCATGTCATCATGCTTTCTGTTGGCATGTGCTCCATCCTTCTGTGTGGACACAGAGTTCTATGTCTCCGCTTGTCATTTCATTCCAGATCTATGGAAGGGCTACCCTGTTACGTGCTCACCCTGGTATAGTCAGCTGTGTTAGGGGAGATCATGTAATACAAATTGCAGCTGCCTATGCTTGACCCTAGAGCAGATGTTGGCATTTCACTTAGAAGGGGCATATAATTGGAAAAGTTCCCAAAGTCCACCACATGGCCCAAACTCCAACGTGGCTAAGGATGCCAAATAAGACCAGATTTTGGAAATATTTCAGGGAGCACTTGTACTCCTGCTTGTATCTTTCTCATTTTTGTCATCCTCCAGCAGATTTACAAACACTCCAAACTTTCTAGATACTCAAAGATTATAGTGCTTCTTTGTTTGGTCAGAGACAATGCCTCTAAGACTCTTCATTGCAGATATACCCCATCTGGATGAGCACTTGTTAATTCACATCTAACCTTACTATCCTGGTTCTTCCCATGACAAAGGAAATTGAGACCATAACAAATCCCAAATAGTTTCTTCAGTCTGGTAGATGTTTAATATGTATTTGTTAGAGATATTTGAGTAAATATACCAAAGAAATTCAGAACCAATGGATAATGATGTCTCTGTGACCATATTTTCTGAATTTCAGTAACTCCTACAAATGCAACCACTGAAACTGAGGAGAAAGGATTTTGTTGATGGAGTGGATATCACAGGAGTTATTTAGCAGTGCAATGAGGAGGGGGTATGTGAATCTATGTGTAGAGCCAAAGCAAAGAAGGAAACTGGGTTTAGTTAGGGTCTGGTGAACCTGATTCTAGAAGAACTCTCTCCTCCTTCCCTAAATGCTTGCAGACAAGTAAGCAGGTGGGACTTGGACAAGGTCAGAGGCCAGACATCTTGGAAGTGAGCAGGGCAGGTCCACACACTCAGCTGTGTCATTAGAAGGGGATTGAAAGGGAATCCTCCCCTCCGTGGAAGGCTGGAAGGCTTGCTGTGTCAGCAAGAGCTGTTTAAATAGATTCCCTTGCTGGCAGGGTGCTAATGAGGTGTTAACACAGGGGAGGGAAATAGGCTGGACTTTCTGGGAGAAGAAGTAGATCTGATCCTAAGTCATCAAAGAGTTGAGTTAGGAACCCAAGAAGGC